GGTGAATGATTCGTAATAATGCCTGCTTTTTTAAATGAATTTGATGAAGTTAAACCATGTACTTAATCGTAAATTTTATTTACAACATGTACAGACAAGAGTAATGTTTATTTTTGAAAAATTACTTGCATTTTTTTTTTCAATCAACCCCACTGAGCTTTCAACCTTTGATATTTTCCCTGACCAAATAAAATGATCGGCATGGGCCACGTGTGTCCAAGCATCTTTTACTGTTGAGTTAGCAATGGATTACATGACTTCTGAGATGCGTTTTTCAATAAAAGTAAAATAGGATAATTCTTTCGACATGTGCACATCCCTGTAACGATAGCAGTAGTCAGGTAAATGTTTTTATCACTGCGTTTGACGCGTTTTCTCGACCTGCATGGGTGTTTGATGTACATGTATGTATTCCGTGTTAGTTTATTTTCTATATTGCAGCAAATGCATTCAAAAATAATTTAATTCTCGGTATAGTTCTTTTTTTTTGTTGAATTTTTACTTTTCAAACATGTATTTGGTCAGTTTATGGACTTCTAAAAACTTTGTTATCGGAGATGTGTACATGTCGACAGTCAGACTAGAAAATCACTCAAGTGAAGCAATCGTACAAGGCTATATATAGCAGGTACAGGTGACCAAAAATTTTCAATTAAATATGGCGGAATCGAAGAAATATGGCGGACAAAGGCGTATAGGAATGTAGTAAGTCGTACAAAGATGAAAAATGATGGCTTTTTAAGAGTTCATGTCAGCTTTAATCTCAAAACAAATTGTTTTTAACATTAACTCCAGATGAGAAAAGTTCATGTTATCTTTAGATAATAAAAAAAAAAGCACAATTACTGTATTGATATCACAAATAAAATGATTATCAGATTAAATATTTAGACACTAAAAGACTTTTTATTAACAGCAGATTCAATTTTGTTTAATATCTGTTAGTACTGCATACAGAAAAATACATATTTTATTTTATTTTTTTTTTTTAGCATCATCACAGTACAACATGTAGTCCTTCATTTTTTGAAAAGCTCATTACTAAGAAACAAAAGTGAAAATGAAATTAAATGTATACCATATATCCCACATATTTGGAATCAAAACAAAAAGTAAATAACTTAGGATTAATCTTTTGTAAATTCCTCCATTTCTCTTATTAGATTCCTAATTAATATCTCTTTGATCACCATTAAGTAAGTCTGAATTCCATGGCCATGGGTAACATACATAATGAATTATGAAATTAAATCATATAATTTATACAAAAGGACTTATTAATATTCTGAAGATCCCTTAATCATGTGTTAATATATTTTAGGTTAAATAAGGGTGTGCTTATATGAATGTAAGTTAGAGACAACAGATCGCATAAGTATTATACAGTAATAAAATTAACCATATAATCATGGTTAAATGCAAAGATGGCCATCATAGGAAATGTAAACAATTAAAAAACAAGACAAACTAACCAGAGATATCCAAATATATGCCCAATAAGTCTATCCATTAAATAATCCAGTGAAATAACATCTCAGTTGATCCTGAAAAAAATCATACAATATTCAGTGATACACAATTAACCTCATTTTACAATGTAAGTAAAGCAATAATTTACAGTCAAAAGGGACAGAAATGCATAAGATACCATGTATTTTACCAAAATTTACTGAATATTTTTCTGATTTAAATTCAATCATAGAATGACCCATCATATAGAAATATTAAATGCACTCTGAGTTACATGCAGGTTATACAAGTGTAAATCACATGAAATGAGGATAAATACAGTATTGACATTCAAAACAGAACTTTACATAATTATGATTCTCCATCATTGGAAATGTAAACAAAACAAAGACAAACTTACCAGAATTATCCAATTATATGCCCAATTAAATAATCCAGTGAAACAACATCTTGGCTGATCCTGAAAAAAAAGCATACAATATTCAGTGATACTCAATTTAACCTCATTTTACAAAGGAAGTAAAGCAACAATCGACAGACAAACAGGACAGAAAAACATGTTTAAATGTAATGCAAAATAATATCTCTTATATATGGATACCTATACTCTAATCAATCATATTAAATGTCATTCGTAAAATGTATTTTTTAAGATAGATTTATTTAGGATCGACTTTAAATGATAACATGAATAGCACGCCATACTTTAACCACATGTCAAAACATTCTCTCAAATTACACAGAAATGGGTTATTTAGCATAGCTGACATTAAACATATAGGTGAGCGATAACATAATCACAATCATAAACAATGTGAAACAATTTTAAACGACCTACACTGTGGATTACAAGCCTTTTTCACTGGGGTAAAATCTTTGCCGAAATTCGCCATGGCTGCCCGAAACCCCGAACCCGACTGTATAAAAGATGAAGTCATACAATAACATAACACTGATGTAGTATTACATGATTTTTTTATTTTATTTCTTAAAAACTATAAGGGGAGTTTACCAAAAAAAAAGTAATAAGAAAAAAAAACATTTAAAGTTATTTTAAAAAAGTTAAAAGTTAAAAAATTTATAAGTTAATTTTAAAAAAAAGTTTAAAAAATTTAAAAAGAAATTCTAAGTTTTTTAAAAAAGTGACCTGGTGTTATAACTTGACAGACATAACACACACACATGTTTTTTTTTTTGTATTGAGTGTTATTTGTTATTGTCTTTCAGTAAAAAAAATCAGCTCAAACCGGTTAGGCTGGCTAGACTAGGCTGTCTAGACTGTAAATGAAAAAGTGTGACGTCATAATCACATTGTATTTATACAGTGGATGACGTCACAATGCATAGGTAAGTTTTTGCACACGGCACTTTACAGAGGATGCAAACAGGTATATATAAGAAAACACAGGTAAAAGGTATATTTCTTTTGCACACGACCCTCAGTTTTTTGCACACGGCACTTTATAGAGGATGCAAACAGGTAAATATAAGAAAACGTAGGTAAAACGTATTTTTTTTGCACACGGCACTTACAGTAAAGGTATATAAACCAGAGCTGGACATCGACGATCATTCTTCGTTAGCATTCTGAATTCAACACAGGTAAAATATGACAGAGGAAAATACAAAGGAGACCGTACCAGAAACACAGGATCTTTTAGATGTAGATGACAGGAGAATGATATGCGGTATCTTAAATCAAATGGCTTTTATCATGCAGATAATTCATAATGATATAGGTGATTTTAGAAAAGAAGTGATGGAAAAGATTCGCCAACAAGGAAGGAAGACACACCAGTTAGTGAAAGAAATACAAAAACTGGAGAAAAAGCATCAAGAACCCAAGATTTCAGGGACCCACCAGACCAAACCTTTAGTGAAAAAAGGAGACAAAAAAGAGAAAAAGGAAGAAAACAGAGAGATCCCAGGCCCCAGCACTACTCACAAGAGGAAACTATCCCTGACCACTGATAAGGGACAGAAGAAGAAGAAACAGAAAATGTAAATTGTATGTATGTATTTTCATTGTGAATAAAAATTGAAAATCACAATCTGTCTTGTTTGTGTTTTGTTTTCAGTAAAAAAATCCAGGTGGTTCTTGTCTTTCAGTAAAACCAGTTCAAACCGGTTATAGGACTGTCTAGACTGTGAATGCGTGACGTCATAATCACATTCTTGCAATGTTTTTTTTGCACACGGCGCATTTTTTTACCTGTATAGTCAGCAAAAAAAACAAAAACGTAGTACCTACGTACCAATGTAAACACACCCCGTATTTAAGGGGAATAGGTTAGGGTTAGTTAGGGGGTTAGGGTTAGTTAGGGGTAGGGTTAGGGTTAGTTAGGGTTAGGGTTAGTTAGGGTTAGGGTTAGTTAGGGCTAAGGGGGATAGGGTTAGGGTTAGTTAGGGTTAGGGTTAGTTAGGGTTAGGGTTAGTTAGGGCTAAGGGGGATAGGGTTAGGGGATAAGGGGTTAGGGTTAGAACTCCACTCAGTTGACCCATTTATCCCCTCAACCTCAGAACTGATCACATGATTTCTCTCAGCCAATCAGAATCTTCCGGGCTATCTAGACCCGTTATACTACTCACGATTTTTATTCTTTTTAAATGTAACAAAAATAAAAAGAAAACCCAAAATGATGTGATCAATACATATATATAATTCCATTAACAATGTACACCAGTTTAACACCGGATTTTTTTTTATTTGCATAACATTATAACATAACGTATATTAATTTGTAAGCAATAAAAATACATAATAAGCATTATGATACTGATTTTTCTATTTCCTCAAGAATACACATCTTATTTTTTGCTCTATCAGAAATTCACTCTTGGAATTTCTTCATTTAGATCTAAACATTATTTATAAAAAAAAATGTTTATATGTTTTCAATGAACACAGTCATACAGTTTATCGCTCACACACTAAAAAAGCTTTAACAGATGAAGTAATGTTGTAAAACATATCTGTGCCAATCATTCATCTTTAAGCCTATCAGAAAGTGGAAGTAAAGTGAAACCTGTCCAAAACATAAGGCACTTCGACACAAATGCAGAAATAAACAGTGTGTCGGATTGAACGCAGGTTAATTAAAAGATGGAAAATAGTTACTTGAAAATGGATATGCATGTCAAGATTAAAAGCAATGCGGAATTTTCAGAAGCAGCAAACAAAGCGCTTACTGTTTAAGGATTCATGATTTAAGTCAGTACACATCAATAGCATATAAAATATAACTTATTATTAAATACAAGGCAGCTTTTAGGATTGTCATGGATATGAACTTATACAAGAATGTATGGTGGGTCTTGGGCGAGCTTACGCACAAATAAAGAGAGATTACACACAAATATGATGTTATCATTAATTTAAAAGGGGTAAAGCAGAAATTTATTTTTAAAAATGTAGAGAAAATATATTTCATGGTAAGAGGTAAATGCTAAGCTTGCTACATGTATTTGAATTTGATTTTAGTAGTTCTTTACGTAGCCACTGTGATTGTGGAGACACAGCAGGTAAATGAAAACAAATGGTGGTCATTGTAATGCCGGTCACGTGATGACATGCCTTATGTCACATGACAATGTACTCCGTGTCACGTGATAACTTGTTTGTCACGTGATAACAAACAGTGTGTCACATGATAATACAACACTTTCTCTTTCCGTCCTTTTCGTTTTCAGTCTCTGTGACGTCATACGACTGTAGCTCACTGGTGAGTGTGAAACCACCTGTATCGTCCTTCATGCTTTTTTGTGAAACCATGGAGTAGATTTCTGAAAATTATAATTAAAAAAAATATTAATTATTAATAGTTACTTTTTGGTGATTCAGGAATTGATTTGTAAAACCAAGTGAACGTAGAACTGCTGCAATGAACTACTTTACTTAAAAATTATACGGAAATCGTCCCCTTTTTTTATTTCTCATTCAATTTTCGTAGGCAAAACGTAGAATTATATATTTAAAACAAATATTTTTTTTAAAACCGTAAGGATGTACCCCTGAACAGCGAAAGATAACTCCTGATAATCAATTGAATAAAACCAAATACTTTCATAAAATAACAGTTTTGAAACGTTGAAAACAAGGCATCACTTATTGTCGAAAAACATACTCGTATATTTAATTGATGTTAACGTTTGGAGTATCTGAAATAATTTTAAATAGAAAAATGCGTTTTCTGACGAAAAAGTGGAATGTATAGGCCGAAACAATTTATTTGATTTTTTATATTATTTAGGTGGCATTTTTAAAATGTTGACGTTTAAGAGAACATGTGGTATGGGGATAAATAAATACAAAAAATTGTGTGCAATTATTCATAGACATTGTATATAGAATAAAAACTGTGTTACAATTATGCTCATGTCATTGAATCATGAATGCTACAATTATTGAAGAAGGTAAATAAATGTTATATTCACCTGATAAAATTGTCTGGAATGCCGTCTCTACGTGTGTAGTGTCTAAAGCCGAGGTTTCAATGAAAGACATTCTGTTTTTCTCTAGAATGACACAAATGGGTACACATACTAGTATATACAGTCATGTACAATTATATACAAGAAGCGGGGAACATAGAACATAAAAGAACTATGATTTAAAAATAAAATCCCATTTGAACTGTCTGTTTCAATAAAAAAAAGAGAAATGGAAACCAAACAACTCTGTGACAATTTATCACTTAAATATATTTCTATCAAGTGTATAGACACCACAAATGCTTAAAAAGGCCTTTTCATGGATTACGAGTATTTCAATACAAAGTAATGCTTTTTTTTATTTTGCTATAATAAATGGTAAACATTTGTTTTTTAGATTACCTGCATACTGCTGAGCTTCATGTGACGACACAGCACGCAAATGACGAAGATCCGTTTTATTTCCTACCAATAATAAAATGACGTCATCATCGGTAAAGTCACGCACTTCCTTCAGCCATTTATCTAAATTATCAAATGTCACTCGTTTTGCAATATCGTAAACCATCACAACGCCGACAGCTTTTCTGTAGTATCTGCAATTAAAATAAATATATTTCTATATATGCATTTGCTTAAAAAGGGGTTTGAAAATTATTTTAAATGTCTGTTTTGTTGAAGTTTGTTTATGATCTTACGATGTATTGATATTACATTTCATGCGAAATTTTTCTTGTATTTTAATTTTTACACAATTCATTTGTTTTCTGTGTAATAAGACACTTGATCTCTGTATTCATTATTGTGTAGCATAAGTTTTCTGTGAAATTACACATTAGTTTTCTATGTACTTCAGCATTATATTTCTGAGTACATGTATACTTACGCATTAGTTTTTATGTGTACTTTCGCAGTAGTTTTTTTTGTTTTTGTTTTTGTTTTGTTTTTTTTTCCGTGTACTACTACTTACGCATTACTGTAGTTTTCTTTGTATTTTCTGTGTACTTACACATTAGATTTCTGTGTACCTGTGTACTTACGCATTGAATAGATTTCTGTGTACTTACGCGTTAGTAATGGCTCTGTATCTGTCCTGCCCCGCGGTGTCCCAGATCTGTGCTTTCAGCGTTTGACCATTAATGTGTACACTCCTAAAACATCAGATCAAGAGCATTAATGTGTACACTCCTAAAATATCAGATCAAGAGCATTAATGTGTACACTCCTAAAACATCAGATCAAGAGCATTAATGTGTACACTCCTAAAATATCAGATCAAGAGCATTAATGTGACACTCCTAAACCATCAGATCAAGAGCATTAATGTGTACACTCCTAAAACATCAGATCAAGAGCATTAATGTGACACTCCTAAAACATCAGATCAAGAGCATTAATGTGTACACTCCTAAAACATCAGATCAAGAGCATTAATGTGTACACTCCTAAAACATCAGATCAAGAGCATTAATGTGTACACTCCTAAAACATCAGATCAAGAGCATTAATGTGTACACTCCTAAAATATCAGATCAAGAGCATTAATGTGTACACTCCTAAAACATCAGATCAAGAGCATTAATGTGTACACTCCTAAAACATCAGATCAAGAGCATTAATGTGTACACTCCTAAAACATCAGATTAAGAGCATTAATGTGTACACTCCTAAAACATCAGATCAAGACCATTAATGTGTACACTCCTAATACATCAGATCAAGAGCATTAATGTGACACTCCTAAAACATCAGATCAAGAGCATATTTAATTCGATGATTTTACACATAATACGATTATAGTTAATTTTATTCATAATGATTTTAGTTCAATTTTAAAATCCGAATCTATAAAAATATCACGTAATTAATAACTTTTTACTGCAAATATATAATTAAAAAGTTTTATTCGGGAGAAAAATTCATTCATTCAAAAATTTAAATTCCCCCCTTCCACTCACTGAAGAGTTCCTACCTGGTGGCGAATTCTACTCCAATCGTAGTCTTGGTCTCTAGACTGAACTCATTTCTGGTGTATCTTGACAAAAGATTACTCTTACCAACACCGCTGTCACCAATCAGAACAACTGTAACAAAAAAGGAATCGTCACCCAATCAGCACAACTGTTACAATATATAAAAGGAATCGTCACCAAATCAGCACAACTGTTACAAATATAAATGAAATTATCACCCAATCAGCAAAATTGTAACAAATATAAACCAAATCGTCATCCAATCAGTAAAACTGTAACAAATATAAAAGGAATCATCATCCAATCAGCACAACTGCAAGAAATATTAATTATTAAAGGAATCATCACCCTATTAGAAAAACTGTCTACCAATATAAAAATCGTCAACCATTGTCAGGAGATCAGATCATTATATTTTTAGAACAGGATCTTGTGTGCTCTGTGGCAACGCACTTTGAAAAAATTACGCACTTTGAAAAAATTTTTCAAAGTGCGTTAATTTTTGGGACCAGGTTAACGCACTTTGAAAAAAAACTTTTTTTTTCAAAGTGCGTTAATATGGACCATATTAACGCACTTTGAAAAAAAAATTCTGCATGGCTTAGTCAATATTCCTACAAATCTTAAGTATGATAACTTATCATTTGAACCTGATTTGATACTTTTTGTCCCCCGCTTGAAAAGTGGGGGATATTAATTTGGGTCCGTCCGTCCGTCTAGCTGTCCGTCCATCCGTCTTTGTGTAACGCTTTCGTTTCCACACGATATCTCGACAACCCTTTAGGCTTTTGCAATGAAATTTAACATAACAGAATCCCTGTGGCCTTAGGAAGACCCCTTTTGAATTTGGGGTCAAAAGGTCAACATTCAAGGTCGTAAAGAACTACGAACGATAGTATTATTCTTCCGCCTATCTCTAAGTCAATTCTCAAAAGTTAACATCTTGGAATGATTCTCAAAATTTTTATACATATTTATATGAATTTTTATAAAACCTTACTTATTTGGGATACCAAAGAGAGATAACTCTATAATTTTGGCAAAACTTGTGTTTTCCACTATAGAAATCAACGGAAAACTGAAAATATTTTTACCCCCCCCCCCCCCCGTGAAACAAAAATTCCTTTTTACAGATAATATGGACTGTCATTTTACAAATTTATGCCAAAGTTTTTTTGTGTTTCACGGGGGGGGGGGCATATGTTTATAGACAAAAAAACGAAAAAAAAATGCTTATTTTTCACCAATTTTAAAGCTATTTAAAACTAAATAATTGTATTTTATTAATTTATATATGCTTTATTTATTTGCGTAAAACATGAGAAAAGATATTAGATACATGTTAAATGAACAATTCCTATGAAAATATCATGAAAGTTAAATACCTGGAGGTTAACAGAGAGAATATCAGATATGGTATCAAATTAACATCGAAAAGCAGACAGGTACTTAATATAATTAAATGTAATTAATGTTATTAATATTCTGATTTTCCTGAAAATGAACATAAATAGACTTTGAGATTTAAAAGAACAAAATTTCGATTTACTACAGACTTCCTTGTACAGTGCTTATACTGTATTTAGAATGCTCTTTTTTCCAAATATCATTGACACTTAAGTTTACGAGTTATAGAAATAGATACATCTGGGTGGGAATGATAAAGAGTTAAGCTGATAGACCTTAATTCAGCCAGTCTTTTCTTCGTTGTCCGTTTCTAGGTTTTCTTCAATCCATCAGTTTTTAGAAAGAAACACATCAAGGTAAGGGCACCGCAAAGCGGAGCATTCCTTCCCAAAAAGCATGTTCAGTAAATCAAGGCAGCATTTGACATCGATCGCGATACAAATTACGTCAATTCCACACAGATAAAAAAAAACATACACATAAAGTAATAACACACATAATCGCATCACTATATCCCATCATACGTTGCGAGGGGGTAATACTGTTGTCTATTTCTAAAATATACATGTAAGTCTAATTCCTTTTGTTTCATGAAAATTTTTTCAAAGTGCGTTAAATGTTTACATGGTGTAAAATTATGATGTACAGTCTTAACGCACTTTGAAAATTTTTTTCAAAGTGCGTTGATTTGGTCCCAAATTCAACGCACTTTGAAAAAAATTTTCAAAGTGCGTTAACCTGGTCCCAAAAATTAACGCACTTTGAAAAAATTTTTCAAAGTGCGTAATTTTTCAAAGTGCGTTGTAACAGTGCTCATTATTCTACTTTGAATAATGTGTTTTTAAAAATCAGTAAGAAGAAAATTACTGTTGACATGACTTTGAAATACGTTATGGTTTTCAAATCAAGATTTAAATTATGTTTTTACGAAATAAAAATGGTATTAAGTAAATCATTGTCCTCAAAAGTTGCCAAATATTCTGTTGCGCTTAACTAACTTTTGCATACGCTCGTACATTCGAGTAGACAGGGATTCTTGAAAATTAAGCATAGGGTTCGAATCAGAGGCTGGGGGCTTAGCCTCCTATACACTTTTAAGTGCTGATTGACATAAAAATAGGCGTGTAAAATAAATTTGGTTTAACCCCTCGTACTTTTTAGCCCCCACCTCCCCACTTACAATTTGGTTTCGCCTATGAAAATTTAAACGAACATGATATAAAAGTTAAAAAAAAAATATTATATTTGCTCAATATTCTCTTTCGCATTCAACCAGAAGAAAAAAGAAATAACTTAACAAAATTTACATAGTTTTTGAAATATATCCAATACTAAAATGCATTGTACAAACCTTTCGCCAAGAAGTCGTATTCATCTTCTGAATATGTCGGGGGATTTGGTTGGTTTTTACAGTGCTCACACGTCCTGTGGGTACATTTAGATGCTTTCTGCATTTTATGCACAATTAATCCTTTAATCGATAGAAATATTAAGATTGCTAGCACTGGATCACCAAGAAAATAATCAACAAAAACAACAACATCAACAAAAATGAAGATAGAACTCTATATCCCAAACACGTGTATATTCCTTCCCCGTTATATCTGCCTTTAAACTAAATTATAAAACATCAACATTTATATATAAGCCGATTTAGGGAGAAATTTTAAAAACTTTTTATGAGTCAACATTTAAATAACGTAAATGGACAAAAATAAATAATCATACTGCTAAGGTGTCTTTTTATAGCCATGATATTAAACAATCATGTAGAAACTGCCAGTCTGGCCATTGTGTGTAATGTTTACAAACAAACCTGAATCACGCACCTGTCATATCTATAAATAGACTAGGTCTTATAAATCGATTGGAAGTCTCCTCAATCGCAACTTCTCGGACCTTTTCGGCGAGCGGTAATCAAAACAAGGTTTTTCCGACCTTTTACGGAAAGGCCCGAGATGATGCGATTGATTTGTTTTAGATCGAGTTGAATAAATAACTTAGTAAACACTACTTTTATCCTCTGGCTGTGAGCGAGGTCGCTCTTTTATCCAACCCGAGACACTTAAAGGACCACATCGCTCACCTGAGTAACTTTGGTCATGCTACATTCTTTACCATCGTCGCAAACCACGGCCAAAATGTACGATCCTCTTCTATTCTGGATTCCGGACCGTGGCTTGAGACGATGATTCTATACCAGATTTCCCCTTTGTAATACCTATTGTAATCCCACCCCACTTGTCTACCACCAAGGGCCATAATTTGGATAATGCAAAATCTACACTTTCCCAGGATGCTTCCCCAGTTTCAGATTTTCTGGCCCAAAGGTTCTTGAAGATATGTCTTTTAAATATTTTTACAATACGTTTCAATGAAAAACTTGGATTACCTATTCTCGTTCCTCCCTAAACCCCGGGTCATAAATTTAAAAACTTAGAATCTACACTACCCCAGCATGCTTCCACATAGGTACTTGAGTAGTGGTTTTATGAATATGTATGTACCTTCCTGATTTATATGTAAAAAAAAAGGAATATTTATATGATACAAAAATATTTTTTTTTATAAACCAAGACTCAAGTACCTGTGATGTTTCAACTTTTCAGGCCCAGTGGTTCTGGAGCCTCCTATTTTGTCGTCTTTTGCTAGCGCGCTTCATGAAATATGCCTATGTGACAAGTCTGTGTGATTCACACACCAATAGCTCACACAAAACTTGAGAAACATTCCTTAAATGTTCCAATTAATTCCAAAGCCTCATCTTCCCGTAAGGCATCAAGACAGAAAAAAAGAAAAAATTCCCCGTCATATTTCATATATTTATTCCAGTGTTTAATAATACCTCTCACATTCACACATAAATTCTTTGGTCCTGACAGACCCATTCTCTCACTGAATGCCGATAATAAACAAAACATGCAGAATTATAGTAAAGGTGTGAAAAAATAAAGAAAAAAATAGCTCATTGTATGAATATCTGGAATGAATTAAAAATCTAGTAAACTGCAGTTTGATAAATTTAGTATAGCTTAAAAATATTATACAGAGAAAATGTTACAATTTGTATACCAACAGTTTAAACTGAGAGTTTGTTATATCAAATGATAACTCCCCTTCACAGTGTCAAATCTAACATCTGCACCAAACCACCGCACAGAATTCATCTTGGACATAAAGGGCGGTAACTCTTCATTATCAGACGTTTTGATATCTGACTACATTACATATTACAGCCTTCCTACTGTATGTTCAACAATTTCATTTTTGACACAATTAGACAAGTTACATTGTAAAGAAAATAAATAAAAAGTCACTGTTGTACACAACTAGCTTGTTCTTTTTTGATATTATATGTATACAAAAACCAATAAATATAAGTATAGCACTTTAGTTGAAGCCTTATTTTCACATTAACGTAGATCAAAGAGGCCTCATTTTAAAATTATGTAGGTCAACAAAGCCTCATTTTAACATCATGTAGGCCAACCGCCTCGTTTTCACATTATGTAGGTCAACAAAACATCATTTTCACATTATGTAGGTATGTTCCCATTATCCAATCATGTGTGTGAGCATTTTTTTCTCCTTGTTGTTTTCTAATTTTTCTTTTTTGGAAAACAAAATTTCATTTCAACTTTTTATATATTCTGCCCAAAACATCAATGTTTGTAATTCTTATGAGCAAACTTCAAAAAAGACAATATTTTAGCAAAATTGATTTATAATTCTATGTCCACAAAATGAAAGCCTTTAAATTTTTTTGACATTGATTTCTAACATAAAAAAAAAAATGGATGTCTTTTTTTTGAATATCGAATCTGATAAATAAATTAAACAACAAACTTTTCATTGATCCTTCTAGGACCAAGGCGAATGGTAAAGCCAGATTTAGTATAAAAATTAAAAATGCAGTGACCATCACTTACAAAATAAATTCTCTTTCTTCCATAAATTTATAACATTTGATGGTCAAAAATGATAGTTCTCAAATATTCAAGTCTGAACAAAAAATGAGGATCCACTCCTCATATTATGTTATAATGTTATCATGTTTTAAAGAAATATCGGAATCCACCCCTCATTTCAGCATCAGTATTATTACAGTGAACAGTTTAAATTTATCTGTACATGTCTACACAAACATAAATAATTATCTGCAGCAATTTTAGTGTTTAAATGCACAATTCAAAACGGCCATGCATTTCCTTTTCTTTTGTTCATTTTGTGAAATCTACACTTAATGATTAAAAAAGAAAAATGGTAAAAAGAATTTCACAAATCGTTTACAGACATAAGCACACAGCTGTTTATGCAATATTTTAACTTGCCCTGTCTGTCATTAAAAAAAAAAAAAAACATGACATAATATATTGAACAATGCACTTCCTCAAGTGGAAACATTCTCAAGAAATCTCCCTTACCGCAATTCAGTTAGCATTCTAATTTAGCAACAAAATATTTTACCATCTTTCTTGGGCAGTATACTTGTTTCACAAAGTTTTAGGTCCGCATCAAAGTTGTACATACATGTAGCAAAAATGCATCAATATTCATTAAGAAACAAAATAGCCACCAAAGTGTTGCATTCTGGGTAATAACATTAACATATAAATCCAATTTCTCGACACAGTTCATTAACCATAACTATATGTACATAAAAAAAAGAACAATTCATAGCAAAATAACATAATCAGGAAAACAGAACTCTTGTCTTCACTCCACCCTAACCACTCGTCAAATGATATGTAAACACTTGAAATCCGGAGCACTTTGACAATAGTGATGCTGAAACGAGTGATCTCCCTTTGTTGTTGTTTGGTTCCTGATGCCTGGTGGTGGGCCCCCCCTCAGACGTTACAACATTTCTGTTGTTTGGGGGCGTTGTTGTCGGTCGGGGCCACGTGAATTGTCTGTACATTGTTACTCGGTGAATTATCATCGTCCGGGCTATCACGAATCTGCTTCTGTGAAACTATTTTGTAAATTTCTGTAAAAAACAAAACATGTCACCTTACACAAAACAGAAACTATTTTATAAATTCCTGTAAAAAACAAAACATGTCACCTTACACAAAACAGAAACTATTTTATAAATTTCTGTAAAAAACAAAACATGTCACCTTACACAAAACAGAAACTATTTTATAAATTTCTGTAAAAAACAAAACATGTCACCTTACACAAAACAGAAACTATTTTATAAATTTCTGTAAAAAAAAAAAAAAACACTTCAC